CACAGTGTGGGGCAGGCTCCAGCTGTGGGGTGGAGCCAGAGCTGCACAGGGCTCTTCTCTGCAGGGGCTGGTCTTGGAGCAGGCTCCGGCGGTGTTGGGAGGAGGCTGCAGCCACTCCAGACTTCACCGCAGCTCCGCTTCTAGCACCGCGCCGCTACTCAGTGCCCAGTACAACCCTGGCTGAACATCCCGCCTCCACCCAAACACCAGGAAAAGCCGCAGCTGCACTGGGTGGTAGCGCAGGGCTGGGAGCAGAGCTGCAGCAAAATTTGGGATGGCTGCAGCCTCCTCCCGGCGGCACTGGAGCCCACTCTGAGCCCATCCCCTGCTGAGAAGAGTCCTACAGAGCCCTGGCTCCTGCTCCTCCCCGCAGCTGCAGCCTGCTCCGCACTGTGCAGATTGGCAGCACATCCCCCACCCTGCCGGGGTGTATTCAGCAGCAGGAGCTGCCCCCACCCCATAAGCTGCACCTCCATCCTGTGCCCCGCCTGGACAGCGCCTGCCATTGCCCCTGCCCCATCCCTCACCATGGAAGATGTTGATCTGCCCCCGCCGACCTACCACTTGATGGCAGCTGTATCGGAAATTGGATCAGTATCGGCCAATATGCCTCCTTGAATATCAGCTTATCGGTATTGGCCTCCAAAATCTCTATCGGTACGCCCTTAGGAGTTACCATTTAGATTTTTTTTTTTTTTTAGGGGGTTGGTGGTGTTAAGTAAACAGAGGGATGTTATTGTATACATCCAGAAGACTTTTTATAAAGAGTCAGTCAAGGACTCTCCTTGGAATTGCTGATTTTGAGATAAATATTGATTCTAAGCTGCTAGTTTTAACATTGAAACTTAAACGCTCTATCTCTGAGTATTATTATAGATAGTTATAGTCTTACTTTCACTCTTCTGACAACCATCTGTGGTGACTTCCCAAGGTGCTGAGCATCTATAAGATCCCACTAAAATCTATACATACTGAATGTGCTCAGTACCTTCACAAGTTAGGCCTTGAGTCCATAGTGAGAGAGGAAAAATGAGGTGTTATGGATAAGTTTTCCAAACACTGTCAGTGTAAAATACTAGTGTTAGCACTACTTAATCACATTGAGCCTAATCTTATAGTTAACTATGCTCAGCTGTCATTTATTTCAGTGGAAGGTTCTGGGCCAGTAGCACATAAGACACTTATTGCAATTAGCAAAACAGTCTTTGGTCTCTTGGATGTGTACTCCATTAATTTAAATCTATGGCACAAGGGAAACATCTGCTATGCTAGATGTCCTGGCAGAAAAAGATGCATTTTATTAAAAAAAGTCACTCTGTCAGAGCTGTAGCTATTTCTAATACTGGATAATACTGCATTTTAGGTACAGTGTTATGACTATGACAGCGATGGATCTCACGACCTTATAGGCACTTTTCAAACAACAATGTCAAAGCTGAAGGAGGCATCCCGGTCCTCACCAGTAAGTCCATAAGCTTAACAATTTTTGTATGCTTTCATTAAGATATTTTATGCTTTGGGAGCAAAGACAACAAAATTGATTTCCCATATTTACTTGAATCCAAGACAAGGTTTTTTTCCCCCCTCTAACATGGCAGGGGCGGGGTAACTCATCTTAAAATCAAGTACAAGGCGAGGGGCAGGTGTGGCTGCTGTGACTCTAGCCCCAACCTGCAACAGCTGTCTGTACCACCTTCCCGCACCCTGTGCCGCCTCTTCCCCCCCACCCTTACCCTAACCTATACTGGAACTTGTAGTTGAGGCTGAATTAGTATTTCTGTTAATAATCTATGCATAGGTAGGCTTAATATCTTGGTTTCTTTTTAATGTCTAAAAACACAACCAGTCAACTTAAATGAATTTCACTGATCCTAATCATCAAAGTGCAGAATCCAGTTTAAATGTCACTGTTTTATAAAAAGACCAAAGCCTGTAGTCCTTGTGTCAGATTTTACTTAATCTTTCATTTCCGGCTTGAGAGGAGTGGGTGATTGAGTGAATCTAATTGAAGACTTGAAGATTCAACTTCTTATGTACAGAAATCCACTTGATATTTTATGCTGTTTGTATCCTTATTTCTTTTCTTTAAGGTTATCCCATGTATTGTGCTATGAACCTTTAGCAGTGCTGCAAAACTTTGTTACAAGACTGACTGCTTCCTTGTAAATTTGATTAAAGGCCACAGAACCTTTGCTTAGAATTTCTTTATGGCTTATGTTGTGTCTCGGACGGCCAGGGCCGACTCGAGTTACGCTCGTACGTCAGGGCGGGCTGGTGAATGGAGAGGCAGACACAACTTATTGGTTGCAAAAAACTTTACTCACGCCGCTTGCAATCACGACGCAGGTGGTCCAGTCGTCGGAACAGCCACATGAGTTGTTCCAGCTGGCGGGGTTCAAGCCAGTTAATCTGTCTGCAATTCGAAGCCGGCGGAGAAAGGGGTACGTCGGGGGTGCGCTCGGGGACAGGAAGAAAGATCGATAGGTGATCAGTCTATCGATCAGCAGCTGCAAGTCAGATAACTTCAGAGGCACTCTGCAGCGTGCTCAAAGCTCTTCGACGTGGGCGGAAGTCGCGTGGAATTTTAAACGGCCAGCGAGCCAATTACTAGCCGCCACGTGTGAATAATTTAGCACTGGCCAATAGCGGGGCACAAATTTGCATCCGAATAGCGGGAACTCTTTGCACCGTGCATTTCTGTGCTGCAAAGAAGAAATGCATCCTGCAAAGGAAACTGCAAATTGGCGGCAACTCTCCTGCACGCAGGCTCTTAATTGCAGCAGAACACTCTGCCGTGCAAAGGAGCTCTCATGTGGCCAGGAAATTCCATAGTGCCCAGGCACAAAAAAATCACTGGGTTGTGACATGTTGCTACAATATTTTAGGATATCTTTCTTTTATGTAACCTTATACCGTCCTGAGTATTGTATGTACTAATATTACATTTTTCTCTTATAATAACCACCCCGTTCCATGTTGCACCTTTGTAGGTGACTACTTCTGAAGTCTTCTTAAGACTAAACAGAAAACAATCTAACACTTTTACTGGTGCTTATAAATGATTTCAGTATGAGTTTACTCATGTGTAAATCTGCTAGATATTTCTAAGGCTGCTTTTTCATCTTTCTAGGTTTTTTCAGGAATGGTGTGTTGTTTGTACAGTTTTTTACACAGTCATGTTTCTTGCTGTTGTAATTTAAGTTCTACAAATAGTATCGGAAATCAGATCAGTATCGGCTGATATGCCTCCTTAAAAATCAGCTATCAGTATTGGCCTCCAAAATTTCTATTGGTGCACCCCTACAAAGAACTGATGCAGTTTGTTCAGTAGCTTCAATATTGCCATTTATTCCTTTGGGGGATACTTTTAAGGGAAACCTTTGGCAGGAGCCTGATACATGCTAGTTCCCTTGTTTTGAACATTAATGGAAGTTTGGGGTGTTTAAGTCATCCCAGGAATGAAGCCACAATTGATTCTTATTGGTGAATACCTGTGTTTTCTGTAAGCTTTCCCCCCGCCCCCACACCTTTTTTTTTTTTTAACAACTAGTTGCTAAATGTAATCAGTCATGACCAAAGTTGTTTTTGAAGTTTGTTCAAATACTTATGTGCATGTGTGTTTTCAGTTCTGTGGCCAGTGTTACTGATTACCTTACCTTACCACTTGCTGGAGATCAGTAATAGTTGAGAAGTAGTTGGCGGAAATGAAGTTTTTGCGAAATGGACATGAGGTGAAGAGAATGAGAAAGCTTCAGGAAATCCAAGGAGCTTCTGCAAATGATGGGTACCAGCCATATGGTTCCAGAGTTTGCGGATTGACAGATCTGCAGCTGCTGCTCAGCAAGCTTATAGCAAAAAAACCCAAAGATGACTTAAAAGTGTCTGTCTAGAAAGGAGGATATATCCATTTCTTTCAAACTCAGCTCTTGCAAACATGTTCTATGTTTTTTCTTGTTGAGATTAACTGATGTGGCTTCAAATGGAATTACGCCTTAAACCACTTAATTATGCAACATAGTTATTTGTGGATTTCATTTCCCCACAGAGTGGTGGAGGCAGATTGGATAGCCAGGTTCAAAAAGGGACTGGATACATTCATGGATGAAAGATCTATTAATGTCTGTTGAAGAGAATGGTTGGAGATGTTTCCTCTGGCATCTCTAACCCAATAAATGGTGGATGCCAGGGCAGGTATTGAATAGGGGATCTGTATAGGGAAGTATTTGATTCAGATTCGGCCAATTTGAAGGACAGCGATTCGATTCGGAGATTTGGATCACTGTCCTGAATCGATTCAGCCGAATCAGCTTTGGAAGATTTGGAGAGATTCGGTGATTTGAATTGGCTGGAGAGAGGTAGGCACAGCCAGGCGGCTGCAGGTTCCCTCGCAGCTCCTCCATCTGTCTGCCTCTCCACAGGTGGGGGGAGCTGCGGGAGAAGCCCCCATGGCTGTCCTGCGTGGCCCCAGCCTAGTCCCAGCACTTAACCCCCGCCCAAAACTCCCACACTCACCAGCTTCAGGAGTGCTGATTGAGGCCTTTGGGCACTTGTGGCAGAGCCCCCCTGTGCAATGTGAGGCAGTGGGCGGCATCAGGGATTGCCCCCTGCCTGGTACCCACGCAGCAGCTGCCCCGTGGCGTGGGTTCAGCTCAGCTCAACAGGGTACTGTGTGGTGTCTGGGAACTGGGGCCACTAGGGCTGAGCGCTGCCAGGCTCTGGCTGACAAGTGAAGCTGCCCAAGCTCCTAGGTGAATCGAACAGGGAGCTGGGAAATCAAGCCAGGTCCCTGAACATTCCCCCAGTTCCCGGTTCGATTCCCTAGCTCCCCGATCTTTCCCCTAGCTCTCTGCTCACTTCCCCTAGCTCTTCCTGGGGGGTGTGGGCCCCCAGATGATGTGGGATGACCGCAGGCTGCTGCTACCAGCTGGTGATGGCAGTGGCTCTGGGCTATTGCCCCAGCTGGCGGCGGCAGCCTGCAGAAACTCCACGTGGAAATCTGGGTGCCCATCCCCACCGGGGAATTGCTGGGGGAATGGTCAGATAGCTAGGGAATTGAACCGGGAGCTCTGGCTGACACATGGATCCATCCCAGCTTCAGACCAGCATGCGGCACTGCACCCACACCATGGGGCATCTGCCTCACGGGTTCCAGGTGGGGGTGGTGATCCCTGCTGCCCCCACTGCCCCACGCTGTGCGAGGGGGCGGGGGCTCTGCCATGAGCCCTCAGAGGCCCTTATCGCCACTCCTGCAGCTGGTGAGTGTGGGCCTTTATTTTTTTTTAATTGCCAAGAGGCTGGGGCCGGGTTGGCAATGGGCCTGGGCATCACAGCCATGGGGGCTTCTCCCACGGCTCCTCCAGCTGTGCCTGCCTCTGCCCCAGCAGGGGAGTCTTGGGGGCTCTGCCCTGCTGCCGTGTGCTTGGCCAGCGTGGGAGGGGCGTGATGAAGGTGCCACTCACTCTGGGCAGCAGCAGGGCACAGCCCCTGCTCCCAGTGCTGCCGCTCTCACATCAGCGCTGGGAGTGGGGCTCTGCCCTGCCACCACTTGCCAGTTGGTGCGGGAGGCACAGGATGTGGGTGCAGCAGCACAGGGAGCGGGGGCTATACTTTGCTGCTGCTTTCCCCCCTTCTGCCTGGAGCAAACC